GTAAGAGGGTAAGAGGGTAAGAAGGTTAGAAGGGTGGGGGGGTAGAAGGGAAGGATACACTACTACGTAACGGGTATGATGGTTGTTTACGTACTACGTATTATTCCCCCTCATGAATACATATCGAGAGTATAATTTTGCAAGGCATCTTCCCAGGGCTTAAACCAATCAACTTATAAGAATCCAGCCTTGAAAAGCATCTTTAGATCAGTATTTAGTCAGTGCAATTGAGTTGACAGAGCTTTGAGCCATTCAGAAACCACCGATCTCCAGTTTATGGGCCTAAACTGGGTCCCTTATGTATTCATGGCGAGAGATAGTATTATCAGTTGACCGGCGTTTGATACCCTTGCATATACTACAAGGAGCATTGCCGATACGCAGTATCTGTAAAGTAATCAGGGAGAAGTCTGTCCTGACAAACTATGATAGTGTGCTTGCCGAAGATCCTAAAAAAATGCCCCGGCATCTTGCAGTACCAAGTTTGGAACTACCGGTACCGTATCTACCGTATCCAGTACTACGTGCAACATATTCTGGCTGACTGTACAGACATATACACTCCGATCGAAGGCATAGCGGAGCAGATGCATTATCGGCACCAATAGGTTGACTTACGGATAGTTATAAAGTTAGGGCCGCGTGTAAGCCATGGTCTTCCACGCCTATCTTTGTTACGGCACTGTACGTACTACTTACTCTCCTGCCCTCCGCCACGGACTCCGCTGGCGCTCCGCCTCTCAGAAGGACGAAATAATGTGGAGATGCCACATGGGGGTGGAATGCAGAGAAGAGTAGAGTTGTCCGAGTTTCAAAGACCCAGACAGATAAACAACATTAAGCTCTGCTCATCCTTCGTATTGTCTATCTATATATGATATGGTGTTGAGGTCCAGTTGCGTGCCAGTCCCCCCTTTTACCAAAATTCCTTTATCGGCAGACAAGCTCAGCTCAGCTCCCTTTGTCCTTGCTCTAGCGGTCAGGGTCAGCTTCCGGTATAACAGCCTAGCCTGACCTAGCCGATAATCCTGCGATTCTGACTGATTGGGCTACCGGGACCGCCCAACTTAAATATACAATCAAGTCCACCGTCGCCTCCTTTCTCCGCGGATTGCATCTGTCCTCACCCGTTCGCAGAGAGCCAGCAATTCGGGTCGTCCAGCCGAGTCCGGTCCAGTCCAGTCGAGTCGAGTCGAATTCAACATCGAAAGGGACCGGTACGGTGCCACCACAATCACAATCGACGAACCAACGAACGAATAAACAGAGATTTTTCATTGCAGAAACACCTTGTAAGTCGAACCTGCTCTTATTCTGCTTGGATAGCCTCAAACTCCAACCTCCTCGCGACTGGTCCAAACGACTCGACAGGCATAATATGCGACCGCCCATGTCTGTTCGGCCAGCTCACCTGCATAAGCTCTAGCACGATACCTGCTAGAGCTGTTCTCCTGCTCGTGGAGCGTACGCGTCGAAGGGGGACTTTCGCCTATCAGATACAGCTTTACGTGAACAACAGGCGTCAGCCTGACAAAGCTCACAGCTATCGCGACTTCTACGTTGATCATGGTTTTACATATTGGGAACGGCGTGGGGAGTGAAAGGCGCAATGCTGACAATGATGTGTAGCAAGAGCTTCCCACCCAAACGCCCGTCTATGGCTTCCTAGAAACACTCAATTATACATACGCCCGGTCCCTCCCCCCTTCGAAAAAAAACAAAAAAAAAACAATCGAAAAAAACATCAAAAAATGGTCCGTTCTTTACTCAGAAATTTCTTCCTCCCCACGAGGGCGCGCAGTGCCTCAGGGGCGGATGCGCCTGCGACTCCAAGCTGGATCAACAAAAAAGTCACTCCTGTCATACAGACTCTCTCGCGCCGAGCATGTCTCCACCCTATACACACGATCGTGATAGTCGCGGTCCTAGCCAGCACAACATACATCGGTCTCTTAGAAGGCAGTCTCTTTGACTCGGCCAAGTCGGACACACTGGGCAAGGCGGACTGGGCGTCTTTGCTTGAGGGCAGCAGGCAATTGAGAGTTGGAGCGGAGACTGGCTGGAAATGGCAGAATACGGACTCGGACTCCCCGGTTCCCCCAAACGTCGACCACCTGGCTCTGCTCACATTTGTTTTCCCGGATTCCCTGGCAACTTCCTCCCTACAAACCGCTCCTTTGGCCCACACCATACCCCTCCCGCAAAATCTTTCAGTTACAGAACTTCCCCCGACCTCCAACCCACTTTCAGCAATCTCCCAGGATACGGCTTTGGCATATTCGGTTCCCTACAATCAAGCCGCGGAGTTCCTCGCCAGCGCTCAAGAGCTGCCAAATGCTATTACAACACCCAAGGACGAAAGTGCTCGCCATGGTTACGAGGCAGAGCCCATCCAGGAACAGAAGATGTGGATTATGAAGGCTGCAAAAGTATCCGGAAAAAGCGACTTGAAAACCTGGGTGTCCAATGCCTGGGGCGAGTTTGTGGACCTGATCAAGAATGCCGAGACCCTGGATATAATCATCGTGGTTCTGGGATATATTTCCATGCACCTGACTTTCGTATCACTTTTCGTTTCGATGCGCCGCATGGGGTCGAACTTTTGGCTATTTACAACTACGCTTTTCTCTTCGGTCTTCGCATTCCTGTTCGGTCTTATCGTGACGACCAAGATGGGAGTGTCCTTGAACATGGTTTTATTATCCGAAGGAGTCCCCTTCTTGGTCGTCACTATTGGCTTTGAAAAGGCAATTGTCTTGACCAAGGCTGTTTTGACCGCATCTCTCGACACGAGAAGGCCGCAACCGAAAGACAGCCCAAGGCTCGGTGTTTCAGACCAGAAAAGTTCCTTGCCCACGTCTATTCAATCTGCTGTTCAAGTCGCCATCAAGGAGAAGGGCTACGAAATCGTCAGAGACTATGCTATCGAGATCTGCATCCTCGTCGCTGGCGCTGCATCTGGTGTACAGGGTGGATTGCAACAGTTCTGCTTCTTGGCTGCCTGGATTCTTGTGTTTGACTGCATTCTTCTGTTCACATTCTACACGGCAGTCTTGAGCATCAAGCTTGAGATCAATCGAATCAAACGTCATGTCGCTCTTCGCCAAGCTTTGGAGGACGACGGAATCAATCATAGGGTTGCTGAGAATGTGGCTGAAAGTGATGAGTGGCCCAAGGCTGACAAGGCTGGAAACAACGAGACGAGCATCTTTGGCCGCAAGGTCAGAGATAGCAGTGTCCCAAAGTTCAAAGTCCTGATGGTCTCTGGCTTTGTCATTATCAATATCCTCAATCTCTGCACACTTCCATTCAGAGGTGCCAAAAGCAATGCAGAAGTCCCGCGTGTAACCGGACTGTCTGGGCAAGGCTTTGCAGGTGTTATGGCTCCATTACCGATGGATCCATTCAAAGTTGCTTCAAACGGTCTTAACTCGATCTTTGAGATGGCAAAGACTGGTGGTAAATCTACCGTGGTTACTATCCTCAGCCCGATCAAATACGAGCTTGAATATCCCTCTGTCCACTACGGAAACATGGCCAAGGGTCCTCTTGAGACCGTTCTCTCGGAAGACCACGTCTATGGAATGAGTGGCCGTGTTGTCGACAGTCTCTTGAAGAGTCTCGAAGACCCTATCCTGTCGAAGTGGATCATCTTTCTTCTTGCGTTGAGTGTTATCCTCAATGGGTATCTATTCAATGCTGCCAGATGGAGTATTAAAGAGCCCCTCCAGATGCCTCCACACCATCCCGTCCATGCGGCCGAACTTGACCGTGCCGAAAAATTCAACAACGCTGCTACAATGCAACCTCCGAGACTTCCATCCCTTGGCAGCCACAGCACTTCCGCCTCGGTTGAGAAGATTGCCCCCTTGACACCTGCTACTACAGACGATGAAGATGACGGGCTCACCATGCGCAGGCGTCATGACGCTGTTGCAAATGTTGAACCAGCCCTGCGCCGAACGCAAGCTCAAATGGAGCAGATGTTAAAAGAAAAGCGTGCTCCTGAACTAACAGACAAGGAGTTAGTGGAACTGTCGCTGCAAGGCAAGATCGCCGGATACGCCTTAGAGAAGACACTAGGTGACACTACCCGAGCTGTGAAGATCAGAAGATCGATTATCTCACGCACCGCTGCCACTGCCGAAACCACAAGTCTTCTGGAGAGATCTCTTCTTCCTTACGAACACTACGATTTTGATCGTGTCTTGGGTGCATGCTGCGAGAACGTCGTTGGCTACATGCCACTACCTCTTGGTGTTGCTGGCCCTATCGTCGTCGATGGTCAGAGTTTCTTTATTCCTATGGCGACGACCGAAGGTGTATTGGTGGCAAGTACAAGCCGAGGAGCCAAAGCCATCAACGCCGGAGGTGGAGCAACAACCGTGTTAATCGGTGACGGGATGACTCGTGGTCCTTGTGTTGCATTTGAATCGCTTGCGCGAGCAGGTGCAGCCAAGGTTTGGCTCGATTCCGAGGCTGGACAAAGGACCATGACTAAGGCTTTCAACTCGACCAGTAGATTCGCCCGTCTTCAGTCGATCAAGACTTCCCTTGCAGGCACATACTTATACCCACGATTCAAGACGACCACCGGGGATGCCATGGGAATGAACATGATTTCCAAGGGTGTGGAGCACGCTCTCAGCGTTATGGCTACCGAAGCTGGGTTTGATGACATGGAAATCATCTCGGTTTCTGGAAACATGTGCACGGACAAGAAGGCGGCGGCTATCAACTGGATCGATGGTAGAGGAAAGAGTGTAGTTGCTGAGGCTATCATTCCGGGAGACGTAGTCCGCAAGGTCCTGAAGTCTGATGTTGATGAGTTGGTGGAGTTAAACACTGCCAAGAACTTGGTCGGTAGTGCTTTGGCTGGAGCTATGGGTGGTTTTAACGCCCATGCTGCAAATATTGTTGCTGCTATATTCTTGGCTACTGGTCAAGATCCTGCCCAAGTTGTTGAGAGCGCCAACTGCATCACGTTGATGAAGAAGTATGTCACCTTTTCTTTTCTTCTCTTTCCTTTTGTAGCTCCATGCTAACCTATTAAAGTCTTCGTGGTGATCTGCAGATCAGCGTCTCCATGCCTTCAATAGAGGTCGGTACATTGGGTGGCGGTACTATCCTCGAACCACAAGCAGCCATGCTTGACTTGCTCGGCGTCCGAGGATCGCATCCCACAAACCCGGGTGAAAACGCCCGCAAACTCGCCCGCATCATCGCCGCCTCTGTCCTTGCCGGAGAGCTGTCCCTCTGCAGCGCTCTCCGAGCCGGCCATCTCGTTAAGTCACACATGGCACACAACAGAAGTGCGCCACCCACACGAAGCACCACCCCGGCGCCATCCGGCACCCAAACACCCGTCACAGCAGCCATTTCTTCCATGCAAGACAAAGCTGGTCTCGTCCTATCCCCAGCCGCTACACTCAGAGCCGCTGAGGTGAAGAGGTGATCTTAGAACCTACACTGGCAAAACTTTAATGCATTGCTGCCTTTCATTTTACGGAGTTGACGGAGGAAATTTAGCGTTGCGAGTCCTTTTTTGTGGGGGGAGGGGGGGGGGGAGCACTCTGATATCACATCTGCTCTCTGGACATTGCGGTCTTCGCAGCCGTGGCAAATTTTCTTTTAGACTGGGTGGTCTAGAGGTGTAACTAGGTCATAGAAAATTAGAATACTGAAACTTGAGATGTTAAAGTAGCAACTTCTTTCCTTCAACCTCACCTCGTTTGATGTTCCGAATTGTAATGGAGGCTTGAGATGTTTTAGATGTGCTATTCCACTCTGCCCGAGTCTGTTCTGTCCTTGCCAGTGTACTACTTCCAGACTAATGGCATATTTATTGACTGTATCTGATCTGTAAATGGTATCGAGGATCGTAGATGGCAAACATCCAAAGCTTGCAATATATTAGCCCAGCTCATTTATGACATGTTTCATCGTCAGGTTGGAGCCCTCTCCGAAGTCCAAAGTCAATCAATATTCAAACCTCGGTTCTAGGAGGCGTGCTGGAAGAACTTCGGGACTCTGTACTCTAGTCCGAGAATAGAATCGGTGAACGGCGGCAGAATGCTCTACGTTCTAGAGCTTTCGGTCGTCTGCGATTATAAACCTCACGGCGCCATCCAACTTGACGGGATATTCAGCACCAAGAACCCGTACTGCAACATCTGAATTCTTTCAATATGGCGGACGAACTCAAAGCTCTCGGAAACAAGGCTATTGCGGAGAAGAACTTCGACGAGGCTATGTAAGTAAGAAAAGGTCCTCTTGTTTACTTTCATTTCACTCTTTAGGCAAGCCCATTGGAGCTTTGGCTACCTGAAACGGCACATATGAAAGAGATCTGCGGGAAGCCCTAGCCTTCTCAGACGAACATATAATAATTCTTGCATAGCTCCAAGTTCACAGAGGCCATTGCCATCGAGCCTACGAACCACATCCTGTACTCGAATCGCTCTGCTGCTTACGCGTCCAAGAAGGACTACGAAAATGCGTTGTCCGATGCCGACAAGGTCACTGAGATCAAGCCTGACTGGGCAAAGGGATGGGGACGTAAGGGTGCTGCGAAGCATGGCTTGGGAGATCTGATTGGTGCTCTGGATGCCTACGAGGAGGGACTCAAGCTTGATCCGAACAATGCGCAAAATAAGTCAGGTCTTGCGTCTGTTCAGCGCGCAATCGATGCGGAAGCCAAAGCTGGTAAGCTCCAATGTCTGCGAAATTTCCCCAAGGAGAGACTGACATGGTTATAGATGGCGTTACTGGTGATCCATCTGCAGGCCTGGGATCCATGTTCAAGGACCCTCAAGTCATTCAAAAGATTGCTGCAAACCCAAAGACCAGCAAGTTTTTGGCAGACCCATCCTTCATGACCAAGCTCCAATACATTAGGGACAACCCTAGCGACGTCCAAGGTGTATTCCAAGACCCTCGCATGGTCCAGGTACTTGGCGTTCTCATGGGTATAGACATGATGGCAGGTACTCAGGATCCACGTGGCGAGCCTGGATCAGCTCCGCAGGAAGTCGAGGAGGATGTCCCTATGGCAGATGCGCAACCAGCTCCTGCCCAGGCACAGCAACCAAAGAAAGCACCATCCCCAGAACCTGAGCCCGAGCCAATGGATGAGGAGGCAGCAGAGAAGGCCAAGGCTAAAGCCGCGGCCGATGAGGAGAAGAGACTCGGTACGGAAAACTACAAGAAGAGAAACTTCGACCAGGCTATTGCGCACTACAGCAAGGCTTGGGAGCTGCACAAAGATATCACCTACCTCAACAACCTCGGCGCTGCTTACTACGAGAAGGGGGACTACGATGAGGCTATCAAGGCGTGTGAGAAGGCAGTCGAGGAAGGTCGGGAGGTCTACGCGGATTTCAAGATGATCGCCAAGGCACTGGGCCGTATTGGGTCCTCTTACGAGAAGAAGGGAGACCTTGAGAAGGCCATTGAAAACTATAAGAAGTCTCTTACCGAGCACCGCATTCCCGAAACCGTGAACAAGCTCCGCGCCGCCGAGAAGAACAAGCTGGAGGCCGCAAGAGCTGCACTCATCGACCCGGCCAAGGCAGAGGAGGCCCGCGAGCTCGGTAACGCAAAATTCAAGGAGTCTGACTGGCCCGCAGCCGTAGCAGCATACAGCGACATGATCCAGCGTGCTCCCGAGGACCCGAGAGGCTACAGCAACCGTGCTGCAGCTTTTATGAAGCTGTTGGAGTTCCCTAGTGCGATCGACGACTGTAACACTGCGATCAAGAAGGACCCCAATTTCATCCGTGCATATCTGCGTAAGGCTCAGGCTTACTTTGGCATGAGAGAGTACTCCAAGTGTGTGGATGTCTGCACTGAGGCCAGTGAGGTTGATGCCACGAAGGCCAACGCGCGGGAGATCCAGCAGCAACAGGAGAAGGCTTATGCTGCTATGTACAGCGCACGTGAGAACGAGACTGAGGAGCAGACTAAGGAGAGAATCTCGAGAGATCCTGAGGTGAGTTTCATCACACATTTAAAATCGAGGAGTTCAAGCTAACAGATCTCTCCAGATCGTCGAAATCATGCAAGACCCCATCATGAACAGCATCCTCCAGCAAGCCCAGGGTGACCCCGCTGCTCTTCAAGAGCACATGAAAAACCCTCGTATTCGCGTGAAGATCCAGAAGCTGGTCGCCGCTGGCGTGATCCGCGTCGGTAGATAAGCGCTTCCAGAATCAGAAACACCGACGTTTGAAGACAGAAATAAGGTCTGTTCCGCGACGTACATCTAGATTTCTCCTTGGGTCATTTCCGATCCTTGGATGATATTGGAGAGGGGATGAAAATTGAGTTGTGATCATATGGGTTAGGCCATGAGAGACGAGAGATGGCTTGCTTTACCCTTGACGATGAGACGTTTCCCTAGGTAATCAGCCGCTGATATTATTTGAGGTCTTTCTTTGCTCGGGGCTTTTTAGCGTAAATCCGGATTGCATTGCGGTGGGATGAAAGAAAAATGATCTTCTCTTCTTGTGCTCCCACTGTGACTGACGTGTGATACCTTTCGGCTAGGTTGAGAATTCGCTTACCCATCCGTTTATTTTTCCATCCCATTTATTTTTCCGTCCCATCTCTTATTCCTCCCATTTGCTTCTTCATCCCATTTATTTATTCGTCCCATCTATTCCATCTATTCTTGAACTCTGTTTGCTCCGTAGAGTAGCGCACAATCAATACCTGCCTTGCCTTGCCTTGCTCTGCTCTGCTCTGCTCTGCTGTGTATCATTCGTTGTTGTTGTTGCCTGTCATTTTTTCTTTTCTTTTCGAAGATAGGTACACGGGTGTGTGTATATATGTACCTATGTATGAGTGTGTATATGTGTATATGTGAAGAGCTAGCGAGCCAGCCAGCCAGCCAGCCAGTTACTTATTTATTATGAAGGTGTGAAAGAGAGGGGAGTTGGGAGTAGGGGTGAGAAGGAAGGGGGAAAGGAGGAAGGGGGAAGGGGTAAGTGGTAGGGAGTAGGGAGTAGGGAGTAGGGAGTAGGGAAAGCCACGTACGGATGACGTCTTTGTAGTGTAGTACAGTCAGTCGTGCGTTGAATGAGGTGTTGATTGGGTTGGAGGGGAGGGGAGGGGGGCATCAGGGAGGAAGGGGGGGAGGGGGAATAAGGGGGGGGGGGGGGGAAGGAGGAGGAAGAGGGAGAGGAAGAGGAAGAGAAGATGGCAGGGAATTGAAAAAACCAAAACCAACGAGTTTTATTGGTGTTATAACAGGAGGGCGTGTATCTCCATTTCAACTTTCAAAAAAAAATCCAAATATTATCCTCCCGATTATCTACCTTTTGTGTCGAAAAGAGCGACTGTAGTTAACTAATACCCTTTCCCCTCTTTTCACGCCCGGTTCGGTACCTTTAAGGTCTGTTCAGTCTGTGTATCTGTCAATCTCTTTCCAAACTCCCTCCCATTAATATCCTTGACCCCTTCCCTATCCCCTTCCCCCATCTCACCTCCTCGCCAAATCATCTCACACCACACCTATTCAATCTCATCTCACCTCTTTTCCTAGAAGACCAAGCTCTTACTTAGCCTTCGACATCCTTCGGCGGTGCAATTCCCTGGTTCCTCTTCCACATCAGCCCACTCACAACCCCGCTGAACGCAAACAGGACGCACAGCGCAATGCTCAGCCCCCACACGGCCTTCATCTCGAAACAGCTCGTACGGTCCCCGCCCGCCCAGACCCAGTAGTTGGCCTTCTGCATGTTCTTGGCTACCGACATCATGAACTCCCCACGGTTGCCGCCCGAGAAGGGGAGCGCGGCGCACTGGAGCGGAGGTGACAGTATTAGTATCAGTATTTTATTGATGTTTCAGATGAGGAGTGATAGGGAAGGTTCGAATTCTTTTGGGGAAAAGGTGGGAAGGGAAAGGGGGAGAATAAGGGTGCAAAACGTACGTCAAGGTAGGAAAGGGGTTTGCCGACTGTGACGGCGACGACGATGACTGCGATCAGGAGGAGAGAATCTAGGGCGCAGGCAATGAGGAAGGGAAGGAGGGAGTCGAAGTAGAGGATGTAGGTTATGATTATGTAGAGGGCTGCGATGGAGGCCTGCGAGTATGTAAGTATCAACCAAGTGTTGCAGGAAATTTGGGTCAAGAGAGGTAGGATGGGTAGGTGGAGAGTGGGAGACGTACGACAGACACAGTACCGACCATCACATCAGCTGGCTTCTGCTTGGCACTGACCATGAGAATGATAAAGTTCGAGCAGATGCCAATGATGGTTATAAGGCAAACCATTTGCAGGGCGCGGGAGACAGTGTAGGAGGCTCCCAGGGCACCGTATTGTGGTCCTGGTATTTTGAAGGGTGCCGGGGTTTTGAGATGGGTGGTTGGCTTCGTGGTGGGAGTGTTTCCGGTTTTTCGGGGGCTCCGGGTGCTGTTGTTGATGCTGCCGGAACTGATTGACGTAGCTTTGGCTGAGCTGGGCAGACTTGAGATGAGACTTGCTGTTGAAGTTGAGCAAGAAACAATTTCTTAGGAAATGGGGTTTCTTTTCTTGTAGAATATCTGGAACCCAACTTGTTAAAGAGGGTACGAAGGCTTCGGCTAAAGCTAGACCTGCGTTCGATCGCTCTTCGTGAGCTTGCAATGTTCGAGATGAAATTGTATTTTCTCTGGCTGTTTTCGTCTGGACTGGGCGACGTTGGGAAGAAGCTCTAACTGGAGAGGATAGAGAGATTGCAGGTCGTGCAACTGGTCTAGTCTTAGAAGAGACCGGCGATCGAGGTTTACTGGAAGCTTGATTGTCTTGCGGAGCCGATGCTGGGGATTTGCTAACTTGAGCTAGACGTGGAGATGGTGTAAGTTACTTGGAATGGACAGGCTCGGCAACAGGTGAAACTCTTAACTGGGGACCGTTAGAGTAAACTGAACTTGATAGATATGAAACGGGAGATTGAGGTCTGAGGGAAGGCTGGTGATCCTCCTGAAGAGATTCTGAGTTTAGAAAAACGGCTCTTCTGAAGACTATATATGGAGGTGATTCGGGTCTTTTGGAGAATTCAAATCCAGACGCAGGGTCGTATCTTGGATTCGATAAAGCTTTGTATTGTATAAACGGGAGAATCCTGGTGGAATGAGCCCGTTATGAGGCGTGCAGAGAATGCCGTTGACGACAAGTGGCCAGTATACGGAATGAAAGTATCGGTCGACGTGGTGAAAGCGTAACTTGATAAGATGTTGAAGAATTGGCTGAGCTGGCAGGGAGACGAAATTCAAGACGGCGTCGTATTTAACAAAAGAGACAGTCCCAAGGAGATGCAAAATTGAAACAATCAGAGAAGTAGGAAAGAGACAGGTTTGTAAATGTGAGATGAGATGAATAAATGGAATGAAGAGAGAAGCAAGCAAGCAGACTCAGCGTTCATATATACATACTCATCAAGATGGACATCTTACCTCGAGCACTGTGTGAGTTGAATGTGAGTAAAATAGCAAACTTATAAAAATATAAATTGTTGATACATTCGATTGTTGTGACAAGCGCTGCGCTGGCCAGTTGGGATCGATTCCAGCCCGGTCGGAAGAAAGCTCGCTTAATGTAGCGGCTGCAGGATCGACATGCCTAGCTCTGGAACGACTTAGAGCCAGACAATCCATAAAGACTCGCGTTAGAAGAAACTGTAGTCCGAATAGACGAATGAGACATCCGGGAACAGCCACAATCCTATCCTTGAGGTGGGATCAAGATGGGTGGCTGTGAGCCGGGAGAGACCCGGCCGCAGTACAAGCATCCGGAAACATGCGGCTTACGGCGGGCCTCCGAGAGACCTGTTAGATGTCTGGATAGACGTGAGCATTCTCCAGAGCATTGACGGCCTTGTGGTCGTTCTATAGTAGTCGTAGATCGGTAGAGCTGCGAGGGGGTCTGGACTCGTCGATCTCATCTACTCTCAAATGTTTGAAACTGGAGATTCTATTAACAGAGGAGATTGATAGCGCCAATAGATACGAGACATTAATACGAAACCGTTTTAGCAAGGAGAGATGAAGCGGAAAAATACTTGAAGTTGATGTTGATGTCTGTATGTGAAGAGGATGTATGTCTTGAGACAAGGCTACGCTACGCTAGCGTGGCTCAGCAGCCTCGCGTGGCCCCCACCTAGAATTTCCGTTATTCGACGCCGAACATCCCAATCATTACCACCTCTACCAACCTCTCTCCCACCCCAATCATTGCTCTCCAGCATTTCAACCGAACCCAATGTCAATCTTTCATCGGTAGCATAGCTCTACAAACCCAGACACACAAAAAGCGCACACCATGACATCCGCCGCTGCGCCAGACATTACAGCCTTGAAGAATGCAGTCTACGAGGGCTGCCTCGCAGCCTGGGATGAGAACGAAAGGGATCCTAAGATGACGTTCCGGCAGAGCGACATCCAAGACCTGGATGCTATGGACGGTCATGATGTGAACATGCTGTTACAGGTGGTGCAGCGGCTGCTGGATGAGAAGCTGTTCAAGGTTGTGCAAGGGGATGAGATCGCGTGGAAGTTGAGGACTAAGGAGGAAGCTAAATGGTATGTTACATTCTTCTCTGTACACAAACCGCCTTTCCTGGGTACATCTATATATACTTAGCAGCACACCAAGAGCACAGAGCTCGAGAGATAAGACTGAACATGACTGACAACTGCCCAGCTACCGCGGCCTCACAGCAGAGCAAGAAATCGTCTATATGCAGATCGACGAAGCTGCGGCCGATGGCGCCTGGTCCAAAATCATTAAGAATAGGAGCAACCTCCACGATTCCCTCTTCCAATCCGCCATCAAGCACCTCCGCGCCAGAAATCTTATCACGGAGATGAAGTCCGTCGAGCACCCGACCCGCAAGATGTTCATTCTCTCCTCCCTCCGCCCCTCCGAACGCACAACTGGCGGCCCCTGGTACACCGACAGTGAGCTCGACGAGGAGTTCATTAACACCGTAATGCGCGTCCTGTTCGAGCACATTCAGAACCGCACGTTCTACAAGAGCAGCTTGGCCAGTCCCAAGGCGAAGAAAGTCCACAAGAAGATGACGCCGGAGGAGATCAAAGCCCTGCGCGCCCAGGGCCTCGGCCGTCGCCGGGAAAGAAACGAAGACGGAGAAGCGGCGCGCAAGCGACGCAGAATCGACGCCATGCTCCCCATGCCTGCTGACTACCAGGGCTACCCTACCCTAGCCGAGCTCACCCTCTGGGTCGAGAACATGAATGCTTTCTCGCAGACGCTAGCGGCGAACGACATCCAGCAGCTGCTGGACATCATGTGCTTCGACGACCGGATTACGCGGGTGATTAGCGGAGAAGGCGTGAGCTATAAGGCACTGAGACGGAGTCTAAGAGACGAGGAGGAATGCACGAGTAGGCTGACGGAGGTCCCGTGTGGACGCTGCCCGGTGTTCGATCTATGCGAGGAGGGGGGACCCGTGGGGCCGAGTAACTGCGAGTATTTCAATGACTGGCTGAAGATGTAAGTAGGTAGGTCCGCGGTTGACCATTCTTGATTGGCAATTCTGAGATTTGGACGGTACCGGCTGGCAAAAGTTCGATTTTTTAAGGGGGGGGGGCAGCAGATAACGAGGCCGGCTGGTTTGGTTAGCTGGATGGATGGACTTGCTTGCTTGCTTGCCTACCTTCAGTGGCGTTTAAGGATGGATGGATGGATGGATAGATGGATGGATGATACCAGGACATTTGTCCGTCGCACCGACACCGACATCAGTTGAAACCACTGAAATTTGAAGGTGATTGATGACGAGAACACAAAAGAAAAGAAAAGTATCTAGAATACAATAATTCATGTACAAGTAATAAATAACGCCAGAGTTCGGTCAGTTGAGTCGTACCTTGGGACTTTTGGCTGCAGAAATCACGACTGGTAGTGGCTATCGTAGCGGTTGAACGATATATTTTCTTTGAGCCTGATGTTAACCTTCGTAAGTCAAGTGGGTAGATATGGCATGTTCGAAGAAGGCGTGATACTCCTGTAGTGTGGAGTCCGTGTCGCCGAGGGGCTCATCAAGGGTGATGGGACAAACAGGATCGGTGGGAGGAGAGACTGGTTGTACTCTCACCCCTTATGAGTAGAGACTGCTATTAGTCAGGCAACGGGTGGACCATTATCGGTAAAGATGAATGTTAATAAAGTCACTGAATAAAATATCACATCGAGCAATCATACGCGAAAAAGTAAGACGAGGTAGTGAAAATCTTTGTCATTGCCAACTCATCGTCAACTTTTTGTCCCTTGCCACCAGATCCATGCTTCAAGATAACCAGCGACTATTGTATCACCGGCGACAGCTCAAGTGTGATTCGCAGGCCCAACCATCAACGACTACCTAACAGAGCAAGTTTACAAGACGCCAGACTTGACGATGGTGGGCTTCTTGTTATAGTTGACCTTGCCGCTGCCGGATCCGGTAGCCTCGAGGGCCTTCACGACCATCAGGGATTTGTCGTCGGCGACCTCACCAAAGACGACGTGCTTGCCATCCAACCAGCTAGTGACGACGGTGGTGACAAAGAACTGCGAGCCGTTGCTGTAGGAAGGTCGAAGTCAGTTGTTGTTTATCATATACTATATCTTTCTTGCATGGAAAGGAGAGAGCGTTGAGGCTTACGTGTTAGGTCCGGCGTTGGCCATGGAGAGGAGTCCAGGCTTGGTGTGCTTCATGACGAAGTTCTCATCGGCGAACTTCTCTCCGTAGATCGACTTGCCACCAGTGCCCTGTGTAGGTGTGAGATCCTACTCTGAGTGTATGTATGTATGGGGTGGGGGAGGGGACGAACGTTGCCACGGGTGAAGTCACCTCCTTGGAGCATGAATTGAGGGATGATGCGGTGGAAGGCGGAGCCAGCGTATCCGAAGCCCTTCTCGCCGGTGCAGAGAGCTCGGAAGTTCTCGACGGTCTTTGGGACGACGTCATCGTAGAGGTTGAACTCGATGCGGCCGGATTGCTCTGTGGAGGGGCAGGTCAGCTCATGTTTCTTTTGGGGGGAGAGGGGGGGGGGAGTGGGGGTTTTTTGCCAGACACCACGAGGTGGGGTAGCTCGATGATCGGCATCATCAACATCAAATCACCCCTCGAAAATAGCAACAGGATGCTGCATTGAGGTGAAGATGCCTGACAACAAAGTGAAAGGAAGATATGGATGATGCCGATGATCAATGGAGAGGAATGAGACACAAGACTCACCAGCAACCTTGGAGGTCTGCTTTCCGGCAGCGTCGAGGACTGGGCCCTCCCAAGTGACGTCGAAGAAGCTATAGCTTGAAGTCAGCACACAGCGGATCCGAGGTCGATACAACTTGGGATTGGAGGCTCACGTCTTGATGGTCATATTTGCGGGTGTTGCGTGGAAAGATCTTGTTCTGGTGGTTGTTGTTGTTGATGGTTTGAATGAGAAAGATTTGAAGAGCGAGGAGGGCGAGGATTTCAACATGGAGGGGTTGAGGCGGGGTCCCATTTTTAAAGTGGTGGGCTAGTCGGGTTGCGGATTAGCGTGGACCAATTCACCACCCGCTTCCTTTTCTTGCATTGAGAGTCAATCTGTTCTCGGGCGATGGGCAGCGGGCAGCGGGCAGACGATGGAATTGGATGGACTTGGATGGGACTGCAGCTGGATCAAGACTCTCTCTTCTCTGCATCTCCAATAGCTGAAGCTATAGCGAGCTATAGCGACAGCTGAACGACAGCTTCACCCATAGCTAAAGCTATAGCTATAGCTATAGCTTTCGATCAATACAGACGAGACCGAGACGGCCACGAGAGCTCCCTTGCCACCAGGATGAGCACCGTCCAATTGCCGGTGATCCACGATGTCGCATGCACGCATCCCATTCATTCCCTCTCACTACTCGAACATATCGAGGCCAGAAAGCTGCAGACAGACGGAGAACCGAACAGTACGGAAGGGAACGTACGTACCGGACAAGTACAAGAGCTCGAGGTGAGATGGCGGGAAGACCGTGGAGAAAGAGAAGAGTCTCGTAGACTAAAGTACAACTGAAGGACAATCAAAGAAGTAGAAGACGAGGTCCAGGATTGGCGCTGATGGGAATGGATGTTGGTACAAGTTCAACGATGCGCAGGATAGGAGGAGCAAAAGTACTGATGCTTGGACTTTTTTTTTTAATACTCATCTCCTAGGGCCTGACAGGGGGGCATGTGTTTTCAACGAAGGGATTAGATGAGATGAGATACTGCACCCTATCTCGAACATCCAGACTACTGGATCATATAGAGATCCACAGACTGATAGTGAGTTGGTTTGGTAGTTTCCATTTGGCCGACTTTTCTACTTCCAAGCTGTTCTCTTTCTGTTCACGTGACATACTACTACAGCCATCACTCTGTACGAATACGAACAGTACTGGTAGACCCCTTCGAGGTCTTGGCGTGGTCGGATCCTTGTCTCATCTGTGACGACTTTCAAGAAGACACAACTATCTCTCGACGCGCGACCTATACTCACCTCCCACCTCCTTTCCACCTACCACCCACCACCCAGCCCACAAAGCCATGGATCTCGCCAGTCTCAAGGAGGCCGCCGCCAATCTCACCCTGTACGATCTCAAGGCAGGTGTGAGAAAGGTCCAAAATGGTAGGCTCCTCGAACTACTACGCCAGCTGTCTGCATGCTCACAAGGGACTTCCAGCTGTTATGAACTACACCGAAATGGAAGCCAAAGTCAGAGAGGCCACCAACAATGAGCCCTGGGTACGTACGCTTATCTCGTCCTGGTCTTCCACTTCCTAGTAGCCAACAGAGGATCTCCGGTCTAGACTTGGAATTTTGACATTATGGCAGGGCGCAAGTTCTACCATGTTGCAAGAGATTGCCAATGGCACATACAACTAGTATGTATATCACCCTCAGATGATATCCATCGCTAATGAGGCCTCAGCCAACTACTCAACGAGATTATGCCCATGATTTATAAACGATTCACAGAGAAAGCCGCAGAGGAATGGAGACAGATCTACAAGGCCCTCCAACTCCTAGAGTTCTTGATCAAGAACGGTTCGGAACGCGTGATTGATGATGCCCGGTCCCACCTCACTCTGCTCAAGATGTTGAGACAATTTCATTATATTGATCAGAACGGCAAAGATCAAGGACTGAACGTCCGCAACAGAGCCAAGGAACTAGCTGAACTTCTCAGTGATGTCGAGCGTATCCGAGCAGAGCGAAAGAAGTCCCGGGCAACTCGAAATAAATACACTGGTGTCGAAGGTGGTGCTGGGCTGGGCGGAGGCATGTCCAGCAGCAGTAGCAGGTATGGCGGATTCGGTAGTGAAGAGTCTGGAGGTGGCAGCAGTAGAGAATATGGAGGTTACAGTGGTGGTGTGTACGGAGACGGTGGAGGATTCGGGGGACAATCGAGCGATTTCCAGGATACCGGTAGCCGTCGAGCCTCCACTGCAGGGGGTCGAGACAGATTTGAAGAATACGACGAGTACGACGAGGGGGCTGCCGCACCACCTCGAAGGCAAGCCGAGGCTTCCTCTTCCTCGGCGAGCCGGCGAAAGACAGCAGAGAGGCCTGCTACTAAGAAGCAGGAACCGCCCAAAAAGAAGGAGCCCGAGGTCGACCTATTTTCGTTTGACGACCCAATACCAACAACCTCTGCTCCTCTCGCAGCCGCCCCGGCCACTTCCAAACCCGGAGACGATTTTGACGACGATTTTGACGATTTTCAATCTGCTGCCCCTTCCACACAAGCTGCAGCTCCCTCTTTTCCAATTGCGGCACCTACTGCTGCAACCACCCCTTACACCCAATACGCCGCCCCACAACCAGTCTCGGCACCAAAAGCCGCCAACTTAAGCGACCTTGTTGGATTTTCATCCATTTCACCCGCACCGAGTGTCAACGCCACACCAGTCAACTACTCCGCCTTTTCTCCTCCAGTAGCCACTCAACAAGCACCACGACCAACCGCATACCAAGGCTCCCAGCCAAATTACTTCACATCCGTGCAAGCGCCTTCTGCACAGGCTTCCCAGCCAAACTCAACAGCTTCAACTATCAAGTCCGCAGTTGGAGGAGCAAAGCCAGCAGGAGGTGATGCCTTTGGATCCCTCTGGTCGTCGGCGAGTGCCGGAGTTAAGAAGTCGAGCACACCTACTGCGGGTCCTGCTCTAGGTCAGCTGGCCAAGGAGAAGGCTAGTGCTGGGATCTGGGGCGCTGGGTCTTCGTCTGGCTCTGCTCCTTCACAGGCACAGAAGCCTGCTGGCCAGCAGTCTTATGGCAACGGCCTGGACGATTTGCTGAGATGATGAATTTGAGAGGACGAAGACCGGGGGGGGGGGAACTGTAGGAGATCTTGGTGCAGTGGACATATGTGGTTCGGCGTTCTTCGCTAGATAATGGCGCACAAAATCCATGACTTGAAGTATAAGTTCGATAGCAGGTTACCATCCCGGATTTTTCCTGTTCTCTTATCACCGGCACTCTCCCTTGGTCACAATTTTGTGGCTCCGCTGTATGGTATGCTAAGTAGCCCGCGGATGTTTTTGTTTCTCTAAACAAAGAACCCAGCGGAATTCGCGTAATTGAGGCAGGTACTCTTACTTGTTTATCTGCTTCCCCTCTACGCAACCATGATGTATGTTTGCCTCCGCAGTAGTGCTCAACGGGATATATGAATCCAAAACAGTCCCGGCAATACCTTGACGACCTTGCCTCCGATCCACTCTCGAGTAGTATCTATCGTCTCTGGGGGGGGGGGCCTTCTGATTAGGATGGGTCTTGGGGCTGGGATTCGGTATGGGATGGGATGGGATTTTGATTTTGATTTGACGGGATCTTTTTTGATTTAACATGAAAATGTGTGTGTGTGTGTGTGTGTGTGAAGCAAAGACCTGAGTCCCAGACCAGAGATCCCGAGATGCTGAGAAGCAATTCCTGATGGCGACAATTCGAAGATTGGAACTGCTAGGAGGCTTGTTCGATGGAGTGGAGTGGGGTGGAGTGGAGTGGAGTGGGATGGGATGGGATGGGATGGGATGGGATGCGCCGTTGCTTGGTAGGTAGGTAGGTAGGTAGGTAGGTAGGTAGGGAGGGAGCCAGGCCCTGCGGGTTGTACCGGTATGTAGGGTTGGGTGCCTTGCGGCCGGCAAGCAAGCAAGCACCTGCTCCTGGATCGTGGATCGTGGATCGTGGATTAAGCGAGCGGGGTTTTCGGAAAGAGCGCTCGTGATGGTTGCTTGGCACCTGGCATGTCATCCGGCCCGACCTACTTCTAGGAGCGGACTGGGTTTCTCGTCTAGGCAACTTGGTAGGTAGGTAGGTAGGTGGGTAGGTAGGTGGGTGATTGGATGGATGGATGGATGGATGGATGGATGGATGCGAATTTGTATAGACGGTCTGGGTATCTGGTGGTATGTGGGGGGGAAAGACGGAGATGGGTGGAAGGGGCCGCGCGAGACTGCGTCTTGGCATGGCAGGTAGCTTTGCCTCTCCTCCCACCTGGGAGAGCTTATCCTCCTTGGAGTTCACGGGCACGAATGTTGAGAAGTGTGTCTTGTGCTGTTGGGATCGCGGGTGAGTCGCTACCTATGTCTGCGGTGGACTAGGCTATGGGGGTGCAGCAGGTCGGGTGCTAGTAGTGCGAGCGTGCAAGCCGTATGGATTCGGCTGATCAAGGACTATTGATATGCGGTTCTGGCTTTGTAAGTATATCTAGGTAGGCAGGCGTTATTAGCGCACGGTCTAGGCTTTGGAAGTATGGTATATGTTAAGCGCTACAAGTATAATATGTATTGAGCGCTTTCAGTACGCAGATAACGTATCATTGTAAGTTCGCGGAAGAGGTATTATGAGTGCAATGAAGCTATATAGCGTCTTGGTACAGGCTTTCAGGCTTGTATATATAGAGTCCGTAGATCCCTCGTAGAACCTTAGACGATCGAATAAATCACTTCTCCAGAACAACACGTACCAGGCCTCCACTCACTTACATTCTGCGACGACGTGATCAAAATATCGTAGTCTCGTATTAGAGCACTGCGCGAAACTTCAATAGCGCCACTAATCTTATGCCGAATATGGCTGGGGTATCGAGATTGAGTTGGAGCAAAAGCTCAGATGTTGAGCTCCGGGACGCACAAGATGGGATGATACCTTCGACACCACTTGGCCCACAACGAACACCACTCTCGCAGAAGCTTAAATCACTCGTCCCCAAAGCTTAAAGTACCTCTGGCAATCTTCGTCAGAGCAGCCATCATGGCTGGGACCACGTATGCGCTGGTTAAGCACGACCGGCACCGCATCGCCAACGCTCAGATTAATTCCGATCCGTCTGTGTGGTTGCATAAAGCCAGGGATGGTGGATACGGAGCTTGTTACTACGTATAATGGTTGCAATGACTGTGATGATACGAGTTTCGCATACAAAGCTTGTCAGAAGACTGCCAGCGCCGTGGTCTCCGGTGTGGACTGCAACGGGGCCAGAATGTGGAACTGCCTGGATCGGTACCCGACGGAATGTCTCGAAGCGCTTGGTAACATCTACAAGTCGGAAGCGCTCGCGGCGAAGAAACAGACATGCAGAAACCCAGCTGGCGGTGTCCATATTGACGATCCTGGCCGGCAATCATCGGCGCTTATATTACGTACCGACTTTGGGCACATTGGGTCCCGCCGGTACCTCTGCGAGCTGCTGTTTGGCCAGGGCCACCACCGCTGTGTCAAGCACGCCGACTTCGAAGACGTAATGGCAGCTTTTCTGGCGGAGTCTGGCGACTTCCTCTGTCACAGGAGGATCCAATGCATATCCGTGCTGGGGCCATAGTCCAGCAGCAGACCGGTATTTGGTCGATGTGAAAGGGGGCGATATCCGGCGTGGTCCATGGCTGGACATCAGACTGCTACGACGAAGAATACATTTGCGGCAAAACATGCTCGACCTCTTCGTCGGAGGTCCAGATGGAGGAACTTCAACAACGATCTGCACTCCGAGCTGGTGGACCAAGGTCGTGGAAGATGCGTCTCCTTTTGACTACGTCCACTGGTCGTTCCACCGAGTACAAGATTGCGGATTCCACTTGGTGCACGATCTGTAGGACCAAGTAAACATGAGAATTGCAAATCCACTGCTGGAGAAGAGCTGGAGGGTGAAGATATCGGTCAATCGCTATAACGTGACTGGTGTGACCGAACCATCGGTCATGTGTCTCTGGGACATTGAAACCATGAAAGTGACAGGAGGTGAAATCGGAGAAGCAGGAGGGAGCTGTTGCTATTTTCCCGCTTGCATAATACTGATTTGTTTATCGGATAGTATCCACCAGTAAAGGGAAAGCCGCAAGACATTGCAGGGCTTCTCTTTTATCAAAAGCAGACGAAGGATTAACAATTATACAGGATTGAAACCTTGAATGAATCAGAGAACCAACATACAATTCAGAAGCCAAATGTATTGAAAAACTGTATCAAAAGGTGGAACCAGTCTGCAAGATATCCGAGAAGCTGGTAGGCCGAGGGTAGGAGAATCAAGGAGCCCCACTTGGCAAAGCTCTTTGTATTCCACTCACGGCCATTCTTGTTCAAATGTAGCTGCTACTTTTTTGGGTCGGGAATAGAGAATAATAAGAAGAAAAACTGTTATTGTTGACATGTAAAAATATGGCAACGGAAAAGGGGGGTGGTACGGTAGTGTAAGGATCACCGGCACTACTGTGTGTGGGCTGAAGCGAACCAAGCTGGCGGGCTCTCGAAACATCGTCCGAATGCAGCTTGTCCGGGCTGGATCTCCAACACAAGTCAACAATAGGCAACAAACCCGCGATTCCTACATTTCATTTCCCACACGTCGGCCATCTGGAGAAATATACTCTGTTGCTCGCTGTCCCTCTACGCTGGGCATAGGCATAGGTATGCGGAGTTTGCGATGGGCGTACATTTAAGCTCTTGACGAATCCGACACGTAATCAGGCTACGATACGATCCTTTGAAACAGCTCTGCAACGTCTTTCCAAATCATTGAACTCATCGGCATTCTGGAAATCCGCAACCATGGTGTCTATGAACGTGAGTAGTCTGCAGTGTAGTAGCACTTCAAGATGCAGAATGTTAACCAGCGCATCAGATATTCCGCATCCTGGGCGACGTATCCCATACCCTCTCGAAATGTATCCTCATCTTCGCGATCCACCGAAACCAGAGCACCGAAGGCGTCTCCCTCATCACACAAGCCCTCTATTGCGGGGTGTTCGTATCCAGGTACCTGGACATCTTCCACTTCAACACCGCATGGAACACGATCCTAAAGACCTTCTACATCCTGAGCTCGCTCTACATCCTGTTCCTGATGCTGCGTGTGTATTCGCGGACGAGAGAGCGTGAAAAGGCATGGAAGCTGGGAGCATGCTGCTTGGTGGGCAGCGCTCTTGGAGCCCCGCTCATGATGATGATTTTCAAGAAGAACAAGTACTGGGGCTGGATGGAGGTTGGTGTTACCCCCAATCCCAGGATGAGCAACCTTGCTGACAATTCTACCTGTGGCAGTTCTTCTGGACTTTCTCCATCATCCTCGAATCTACATGTGTGCTTCCTCAGTTACTACTTCTGCGACAGACTACCGTACCCACAGTCATCGATTCTTTCTACCTGCTTACCCTTGGATCATACCGGGCGTTTTATATCCTGAACTGGATATGGCGAGAGTTTGATCTCACGGATCGCAAGCCAGATCCCATTTCCATCATTTTTGGGGTGGTACAAACCGCTTTCTACGTTGACTTTGCCTGGGTCTACTATAGTAGACAACGAGTTAAACTTCGCCATGGTGGCCTTGTAGATGCAGACGATCTGCGAAATGGCTGGCTGCTGCGAACGGTCTTTGGACACAAGCCCCTGGTTGGCCATCTAGATGACGAAGAAAGTTCACCCGCTCTCGGGGGAGATGGCGACAACCGACCAGGTGCCCCAAGTAGAATAGGCTCGAATTGGGGTTCCCGCGGGATCAGCGTGTCCGCAGATGATGGGGTGCTGGCAAGCGAAAGAGAGAGGCAGAAGCTCTCCCAAGGACAGGAGTCAGGTGTTACCAGTGGCGCTCTTGGAGAAGAGACAGACCCTGATGCAAAAATGCAAAACCCAGACGATTTGGCGAGGATACTTGAAGATGACGAATATGATGACGATGATACGGCTCTGCCAGGCGGTAGCGGGTCTGCGGTAGGCAATGGGTCGGAATGGAGAGATGAGGAAAGCAAGTAAGCATATATGGGGGATCAATATCGGTGTTAGGGTTATCGGTGTAAGGGCCTGAATAACGGGAAATTCAACGGCTGCATCGATCGACGTCTTCCCTTTGATTCGTTGCTCCATTTGTCCATGGCAAGTGCCAATACCAGTGCCCTTGTTTTGGTTCGATATCTTTGCACGTCACGTTTACTGCCCAATTCGTCCTTGTTGCTCTGTTGTTATTGTCGCATCCAAAGCAACATATCGTTCAGGTCTCATACTCATTTCCGGCGCTGTGCATCAGTTATTTGTTTACATCAGCTTCTTCCTCTTCACGGGTTATCATCAGCCGAGTATTCATGGATTGCTTACATGCTTGACTGCTCAAATTTGGCGCCCATTGTCCAGTCGTACTTTGTTTTCCGAACTGACCTGCAGGATTTCACATCGGTTTGCATATCGAGGAGCATAATGAAAAGGTTTCAATTATGCTCGGTTCAGCGTCACGGATAGATGGACAGAATACCTATACGGCGCTTAGCCGACGTGATATGACGAGTCGACTGACTTTTGTATGAACCGGTAAGTTTTCGAAATGGGCCACATTTATGATATGCTTATCTGGGTTAGCCAGTTGTACGTAGTAAGTACGAAGCTGGCTGGTTCTCCACGGCAGTAGGTAGGTCACCGGTAGTCGCTGTTCCTTTTTGATTGCGTGAAAGCTAGTAGTAAGTAAAGATTTCTGATACTTGGCATTTCTAGGTGACCATCTCCTGCCAATCGGCTGCTTTTGCGCTATTACCCGGCCCCGCCGTGCACGGCCTGCCCAGCTCTCATTTAAGCCTTCACATCGGATACAACTAACCCCTTCGTTGAAATAAGGGCAAGACCCCAGGGGTGGCACGGATCGACTTGCGCTGTACGTAGTAGGTACAGCGGTCAAGTCAAGTGCTGTCCTGGGTCCGACAAAGGGTCAGCTTAGCTAAGCTCAGTCAGGTACCGGTAGCAACTTGATGTTCTCGGAACTTCTACCCTACCCAATCTACTGTAGCTAGCTCTTTTGGATCTGTACCTCATCAGGTCAAGTCTGGACTCGACTACACCCTTGGATCCGTGTGCGAAAGACGTCTGTCTCTCTGTCTTGTGCCGAAAGTAAAGCAGAGGCATAATGGAGATTCCGCAGCCATATACTTCCCAAATCATTGTTTCAACGCTCGATCACTTCTTCAACCGTGGGCGCTGAAAGCCAGATTCGATGGGTAAGCTCTAGAGGGCTGAAAGCTAGATCTTACGGAAGGTGCGTTGTGACAGCGGTTAAGTGTCGTAACCCTCGTCGACCTACAGCTACCAAGTATTTCGAACCCCCTTGGCCAGTAACACGACTGCTAGGGAACGGAATCTCGAAGAACCTCATTTTGACAGAGCCCAAGCAGGCTAGGAAAAGTGGCTGTAGGTTGTTCATTGTTGTTCTTGTTGTGTTTACCAACGTCGCGCGGGTGGCAGGCTTTGCTTGCCGCCTTCGGACCTCTCACAGGCCTCGACCTCTCATAAGGGCCGGCGACGTGCTAAGCAGAGGAATTACATACGTAGTACCAAGTACCAAGTACTGTCTAATCGAGAGTTAAATCTAACGTTAAAGAAAAGCTTTCTTTTCAGATAGCCTCGGGTCTCTGATCTCGCGGTATCGCATAACCTTTACAACTCTTAGAAGCATTTTAGGTTGGTATAGGGCAGCAGCTATCGATGGTGCTTTTTCCTTCACGGATAAAATGGATCGCAAAGAAAAAGATACATCTTCGTTCGGAGGAAAAACTTGGAAGAAAAAAAAAAAAGGGGCAAGTTACAGCGTAAGGAACGTATATCGGTACCGATTTGATCGAGATAATTCGAGGCCAGACCGGGGTCCGCTCGAAGGCCTTTTCGACGGCGCAATATCTATCGCCATATCGTTTTTGAACCCCTTTTTTTTATCTCTCTCGTCCCGTTCCCCCTTCTATCGCAAATCCTACCTAGTATCTTCCATCGACATGCCCGTCAAGTAGAGATCGCAATCGACGTAGTAGTCGAGGTACGAGAAGGCTCGTCCGGATCGCCGGTAAAAAAGAAAAGCTCTTTGAGAGGCCACCTTGGTTCAATTTCGGCTCTCCAGACTCTCTCTTTTTTGCCGCGGGAAGAAGAAGGGCGGAAGGTTCGTAGGGGCCACCTCGTATATGTAAAGAATCGTAGCCTCCCCCCCCCCTCTCCCCCCTTCCCCCCCTCCAGTGGCTGTAGGGCGACGAGGGTCTCATGATGACACTTAATCGCTGTGCCGCCGTAAGAGAGGCAAACCCTGTGCCCTGGGTTTGCAGGTTTTGCACGTCTTTTGCAAAGCTCTCGGTTCCCACCGCAGATGATGGGGCTGGAAAGTCTAACGGCTTCTAGCTTTCCAAGAGCTTTGGCCAGATGGTAGTACCTACCGGTAAGGTATGCTCCTGCAGCCGTCCCGTCTCTTGGTGCGCACAGCGTTCGTGGTGCGACAAGGGTCTAGCTAGAAAGCCTACCTACGTAGGACTTGTACTTGTAGGTACATCGGAAAGACTTGAGCAGGTAAAATCGCCCCCCCCCCCCCCCATCTGCAACTGCGTCTGGATTTGTGCAAGCAGATATTCCCACCGCGATGGAAAGTTTTGTCGCCGAGTCATGGGCAGTCGGAAGTCCCCATCGTCCGGCCCCTTTCTCGTCGCCTTGTACTTGGGTCTTTTCGCAGGCTGCGGACACTAATGTACGCTTGTCGTCTGCGGAGAGGCAGCACACTCCTGAGTCGGGTAGGTACGCGATTCGGAGGAGTGCAGCGAACGGGTGTGTTGTCCCCAGATCCAGCCAGATTCTGGTCCAAACTCAAAAGGAAAATGTTTGAAACGTTCTCCTCGCTGGAATTCCGAGTCAATTTCGAGCAGCGGAGGTGGCTATGACTCGATCTTGGGGACGAAGAGTTTACTTTTCCTTGAACAAATTCAAAGATATTGCGCTCCAAGATGTACCACTAGTTGTATGTAGGTAGATAGGGGCAGTAGAAGATGATGCTGAATAGATGGCTGCTACTCTTGAGTCGATATCAAGATGCAGAGGGGGCGCCTCCAAACTTTAGCCAGACTTCTTATATATATATATATATATACGTCTGAGGTACGACGACCATGGCCTGCAGAAACCAGCTCCTCCATACTCCTCAGCCCAGCAGCTACTCTCTCTGTCTTTGCAATGCGGTACAACATCTTCCTCGTCGTGGTCGCCGCGGCTCATTCGGCCTACGCCGCTACTTACTACGTCTCGCCCACTGGCTCTGATACCGCCGCGGGTACTCTCGCGGCGCCGTACCGATCCATTCAACTTGCGGTCGACAAGGTCGTCCCCGGTGACACGATCTTCATGCGTGGTGGAACCTACTCACTTACCACCAACATCAAGATCACAAGAAAGGACGGAACATCGTCAGCACGCATTACCCTGTCCGCTTACAACAACGAGAAGGTCATCCTCGATGGCGAAGCTCTCCCGGGCACTCCGTCAGAATTGAATAGTAGTTTGCCTCTTGTAAACCGTGGTGTTCTGCAAGTACTGGCATCGAGCTACTGGACCTTTATCAACTTCGAGTAAGTTATCATAACCCCCAAGCTGGAATGAGGTGGATTTTTTTATTTTATTTTTTTCCCCCGTCCTGTTGAAGTTGCTGCCTTGGGCTCTCGCCACAGATTGCATCCTGAAATTTTGCGCTTGTAACTGATGTAAGGCACAGGCTGATCAACGGCCCGTACGGCGTCTTCCATGCCAACTCGAGCTACAACCGGTATGAGCGACTGGTGACTCGCGAGAATTACGAGAGCGGCTTCCACATGCAGGGGATCTGCGAGCGTAACACGGTGCTGTACCTAGACTCGTATAAAAACCGGGATCCGCGCCGACTGGGGGAGAATGCAGTAAGAGAATTCTTTCTGACCAAACCTTTGTTATCGATATTGATCCAACAAAGAACAACAAGTTAGAGCACCGCACTGACAGATGAGCAGGACGGCTTTGCGCTCAAAGAAGGCGAGGGCGAGGGGAACTTGATCAAGGGTGTCCGGGTGTGGGGCAACTCCGATGATGGGCTCGACCTGTGGGAATTCAGGAGCGGCGTGACCATCGAGGACTCGGTGTCATGGGGAAACGGGAATAACACGTGAGTGTGTTCATTTTTACGTGGAGCCTGGTTGTTCTCGTTGAGAGGAGTCGCAAGCTTACAAACCTGCAGCTGGGGCTTCTCACCCTTCAATGGCGATGGGAACGGATTCAAACTCGGAGGTGGTGACGATGGAGCGTAAGTTGAATCAATTTTCTTCCGAGGGCCTCGGGTACTCCGAGCAGTTCTACACCCCACGACTGCGCTGTCGACCCGGGGAAGATGAAAACGAGCGGCGAGCTGACCTTCGATCTTCCAGTGTTCGCCCTGCCAACCACGTCGTCAGAAACTGTATCTCCTTCCAGAATGTCCAGAAAGGCTTCGTCGGTAAGATCGATCCCATCCTTCACTACCTCTGTCGCAACTCGCTTCCGGAGCTGCCCTTTCTTTCCGACAAAACGTATAGATCCAATGTTGGGCTAACATCCCTCATCCACAGACAATGGCCAAACCGGGGTCTTCAACATCTCCCGCAACTCCGCGTGGAACAACGGGAACGTCGGCTTCTTCATGGAATCTTCCACAGCCACCCTCGTCGACAACCTGGCAGTCCGGAACGGGCGCAGCGAGTTCTCATTCACGGGCGGCTCCCAAGTCACCGCGGGCAACACGTGGCAGATTGCTGGGACGTGGAACGACGCTGCGCTGATGAGCACCGACAGCGCGGTCATAAAGGGACCGAGAGATGCGGATGGGAAGATCCGCTCGAGTAATTTCCTGCGCCCGAAGAACGGTGCCGCGGTGGGGGCTGTGATATGACGGCAGGCACATACATGTCTGAGTCTTGACATCCAGAGGTCGCTTTCAGATTACACCGAGGACGCCGCCCAGGCCGGCATAATGTTATTCAAAGAGAGGAGGCGCAGGGAGCCTGGCGAGGCCACTTTAGTGATTAGTCATAATTTTTTTCATCGCGGAGCTATCTCCGGTAGCAGGACTATATTAAAGCGTAAAGTTAAAGAGCACCAAAACCGTTGGCGTCACAGGTGTTCGTGATAGGACGACTAGTCTCGTATCGATTGGCTGTGGTTGTGGTTGTGGTTTGTGATTGTACTTGTGGTTGTATCTGTTGATGGAATGTAACCATCTCGTTTCAACGGGTCCTATAACAAGCGGCTCCCTATAAGGAAGTCGCGTGGTCACGTGACCTGTCACCTCCGCTAATGCTGCTGCTGCCGAAGGCCAACAACCCCCTGTCCGTACTTGCCTCCACCACTGACATCGTATTCCGACAGAACCGAATCATCAGAAAAAAAAA